AGTGCTTAAGCTAAGAGCTCAAAGTAGTCATTCGTACCACAGAGGTTAAAGGACAATGACTACCAACAGACAATACAAAGGTAGCAGGACATCCTACTTAGAGATGTCTAGCCAGTGGAAGGGCCCTTGATGACCTAAATACACACAATATCAAGTTTCTCAAATTAATTGCCCCTTCACATTTAAAATCTTTATACTTTTGTACCCACAATAGATCTCATGATGCTTCAAAAATTGGATGTTTCAGAAACATACCTGAAAAACATGTCCTTGACTAACTTATCATAAAGGTGGGTGTAATCAACAGTTGTTGATTAAGCACAGTAACTTATTCATAGGGAAAAAAATTACATATTACTTTTCAGTCAGCCAGCTTTAATAAGTCTAAAAATAATCCCAGCTTTAATAAGTCTAAAAATAATCTCTGGATTAAAGGGAGCTAGTCCCATACTTGGAATCTGCATTTACTAAGAAAGCCATGTCCCAAATACTACACACATTATTTACATACATATAAAATAAGGAATAGATATGGAAGAAATGGGAAACAATGATTTAAATGTAAAATTTAGATTTTGATAGAATATATAAGCAAAATGGCAATGTACCTTGTTAAATGTGACCTGGGTGGGGTGGGGTGGTGTGGGGTGGTGGTGGTGATTAATCAGTGCCTGGTTCCAATTAAGGAACTAAAGGGGATTAGAAAAGTCAAAACAAAGCTTAAACTTGAAATATTATTTCCTTTGGTTAGTTTAAGCTTAAGCCAATCAATCCTCTCTCCCTTCTTCTGGAGGAGGCTGTGTTATTATACATGAGCTGTGTGCTGTAGCTAAGGTGAATGCAATTGTATTAGCTGCACTGGACTTGCTTAACCACACAGTCCTCATACTGATCTCCCACTTACATTGCAGGGGTTTTTTGTGGTATAGGATGTGTTGGGTTGGGGTTCAAGGGGTGGTCGAGGGCGGTCTCTTTGTAGCGGATGGGGGAATGGTGGTGATTGTACATGCGCTGGGAGGGGGGGGGGTGTGTCATCGGCTATTGGTTGATGGGGTTTGTTTTGGTGTGGTAAAATTGTGGGTTCTGGTGGATGGATGGGGAATTGTGGTATTTGGATTGCTGATGGCGGAGCTTTATGGAATTCTTTCCAGTGAATTTTATATATTGGCTAAGAAAATGGAACTGAAAAGGTATAAGTTTAACACATAGGATATTTTAATAGCAAAAAACTTTAATCTATAGTTTAAAATTTTTTCATTATTATAAAAATATGGGAAAATTTACCCTTCAATACACTAATAAATATTTAAAACCTTTTAACTCAACAATACCACAAACATCAACTTAACATCCTTACACCAATAATCCCACCAAAACACACCCCCCCCACTCTTCAACACACCATAATTACCATATTTCCTCCCCATAAATCTCATCAACAATAAATTCCCACCTACATCACCTATAATTTTTATCTAAATATTCTAACAATATCCAACCCCCCCCCAATTTTATATATATTTTTTTACCCAATTTTTTTTTTTTTTTTTTTTTTTTTTTTTTAAACCCCCCCCCATTTTTTTTTTTTTTTTTTTTTATAATTTTTTTGTGGGGGTGTTCGACCCGGGTGGGTGGTGGGGGTGTGGCGGGGCACAAAAGTGGAAATTAACTTTAATTTTTGCATTGGTGGTTTTATAGTTTTGGTAGTGGATGACATCTATACCCTACACCAGGCTCAGTAACAGTACTTGGCATGACCAACCTTAGTCATCACTTTGGTAAGTGCTTTGGCACGGGCCACTGTTGCTAACCACCATCCTGGTGCAGGTCCTTCACATCTGCTCTCCTATGGATGGAAAAAAGGAAGTGTCTAGTGTCCATTCATTGGCCACGTCACCTCCAACCTAGCCTTTACTCACATGCCTTTCAATTCAGGCCCAGGAGAAAATGATTTCATTTTTGAGAAGGAAAGTTAATCAGACAAAGCTACAGTACACTCTTAGCACAATAAAGACTTGGTGGGATGAAGAACATCCTCAGAGTGACAGTTGAGGGAACCAGTAGCACGATGCTGAAGAGGATGATTAAGAAGTGTTCTGGCAAACACTGACTCTAACAGACAGACACAGTAGCACAGTGGACAGAGCAAAGGCCTTGAGTTCTGGAAAATGAAGTTCCTAGCCTCACTTTGTCACGAAGCTAGAAAGAGAATGTGTGTAGAAGTGTTTTGTAACTATTAAAAGGAAATGGATTATCACATCAGTAGCTTGGAAATATTCTGGGCAATTCTTTGGGTTCTTGCTTCCCCCAGTTATAAATCTGATAACAGATTATATTAATCAAATAATAATAAAACAACCTGAGCTTTGTGGAAGAAAGATGCAGTCTGTGAATACCAAAGGTTTCTATTATTGACAAGAATAGATTTCCCTCTACCTGGAATGAATGGTCATTTCTCCACTTATCTATTAAATACCTTTTAACTTTAAGAATCAGCACAAATGCTATCTTCCCTGTGAAATCGTCCTTGATTCATCCAGACAGAATGAACTGCTCCTTTTCCTGGGTGTTTACAGTTCAACATAGACCCTATTTTGTCATTATTTCCATCTACCTTGTATTTTAGAACAGATTATAGCCATTACTCTCACTAGAATGTGCATTCCAAAGGCAGAGCCTGTCACGTTCTCTGAATCTCCCTCATCTTCCTAGCACAGTGCCTTGCACAGAGTAGCTGCTTAATAAATGTTCCCTGAATTGTACTGAACTTAGTTTACTTTGGATCTATGCCGTCTCTTCTACCTCAAAAAGCCAAAAACCAAAAATCAACAGTGAAGAGAGAGAAGAAACTTAAGACAAACATAAAAGATGCATAAAGAATGGGTTCATTCTTTGCATTCCTGCTTTGGAATGCCCACTACTGATCTCCATACAGTTTTGTCATTGATTATTAGTGAGAGCAAATGTTAGAAAGCACACAAAGGCAGACAATATAAAAAACCCATCACACGTCATGCAAAAAGTCTGTGATTTAGGACTGTTTTTAAAGTTGCCTTTAGCTTCAATTTTAATGGCAAAATTGGTACCATCAAAGCCAACACAAGACATATTTGCTCTGTTTTATACATGCAAAAATCAGTATCACCTTTAGATTGAGTTGGGCATCTGCTGGGTGTTTCTGGGTGAGTAGGCATCTTCTTTGAGGCATAGTTTAAATCAAGTGGAAGCTTGGATATTTCAGACTTGTCATTTTTGTATTTATTTGTTGGCAGCTTCTAGAATATGTGGATTCCCCTGGGATTAAAAGGAGAAGGACCTAGCACCATATTCTGTCCCTTGTACAAGGATGCCTTGTGAAAGGGTCTTATCTCTTTTAGTAAGTCAAGTACCTTAATTATACTGTATTATTTTAGGCAGTCTTTTCCCCATCTCCCACTTTCCTAATTTGAAGTTTACTCATCTAGGGTATCGGTAGTTGAACAGCATCTGGTTTCTCTTTTAAGAACTTGTATTATTGGAGTGAAAATTATGAAACTTGTTTACTATCCTGACACACTGATATGCTCCACATAGGTCCTTTTAACACTTCCCTTTCCAGCTTCTACTATATGGACTCTGCTGGTTCTCATCCTCACTTCTGTACTTATATCACTGTTTCACTCGCTACATCAGGTCCTTTCAGAAGTAGCCAAGCACAATTCTTATATTTCTATATTCATTCAGAGCTCATTGTCTGCTTCTTGTAAGTTTACCCTATAAGTATCTTCTCTTTGACCAGAATTCCTTCAGTAAAGGAACATGTCAGTTCTATATAAAGGTATGGAGAATGTTGTCTGCAAACAAAGGTCATTTGAAGACTATGAGCATATTCTAACCTTTTTGGAAAAAGATAAAAATTTAAAAGGACTGGCTGGAAGTCACTAAATTCTAGTCATACGAGCTTTGTAGATGAAGAAGCTGTTTATTTCTATATAACTTGTACCACACGACCAGCATCATTTGAAACAAGCTTAGACTCTGCAGTGTCCACATACTTGTCACACTCCCCATGTGAGTCAGCCTCCTGCTGTGCTTTTAGCCTCTACTTGTTTCTTTGTTACACCTTTCTCTATAATGGTTGGCTTTCTGGCTTTCCTTGGATTCCAGCTGCTACTTCTCATGACTGAGGGATACTAGCCTTTACATAGTTACTGTGAAAAAGGAGATGATCAGAAGAAATACACCTTTAGTGGCAGCTGCCAACAACACACAGAAGCACTCACTCAAGATGGCTTAAAAGAGACAGTGACTCAATGTATGACTAGAAAACAGAGCAATTTAGGCAAGTGTGAAAGGAATTAATATTTTCTAGTAACTTCTAAGATGATGAGTTGCTGATTAGCATATATTTGACTTAGGTATTTTCAAAACTGGCTATTTTGGGAAGGGAAGGCAGTGTGAAGCAAGAAAGGAAGGGGAGATTGTCTTTAGAACCCCTAATTAATACAAGCACTTGCTTTCAGAAAACCCTTAATTTGAGCTATTCCTTTTCACTTTTTCCTGTTGGGTACATGACATTTTAGAATTCTTGGTTTCAGCAGCAACCCAAAAAGACAGAATTGCCAACTTGCACATCAAAAATGAGGGGAAAAAAAAGCATAATGATTTGGAACAAAAACCAAAACAGACTAAAACAAAAAATACAAGAAGCAGCAAAATCATTGAACCTAACTCACAGCATCTTTTTGAAGACAGGGAGGTTAGTTGGTTAAATATCACAGTGATCTAGTTGTTACTATCCTAGCTTTGAGAGTTTAAATGTTTAAGAATGCACATCCAGAAGCGGCACATGTAGAAAAACCATGGTAGCCAAGAGAGATCTGAACTACTGCTGCCCGGGCCACCCTGTTCCAATTAACATGGATTTCCAGAGTTGCTGTTCCATGATAACTCTCAGTAAGAGAGACAAAGAAATAGAACATTTTTAGAAACCAAGCAGAAAATGGATGGGAATACAATACCTGGAAAGTTTATCAAGCATGTTGACAAGTTTCATGGCTTCATATTCTTTTTGTTCTTCTGTCATTTCATCTATGGGGTTTGGCATTGGTTCCTCTAAATGACCAGTGATAAGATTAATGCTACAAAAAGAAAAAAAAGTTATGCTGTATGTTTTAAAATTATGCTCTTTCTATACTTTCTGGTCCAAGTTGTAAGTTATAATAAGAAAGAGTATAATAGCCAAAAATTGGCAATAATAGCAATTTTGTAGTATAGAACTGCTATAGCAATTTTTAAAAATTTACTTTTTCTACTAATTTGCTTTGGGAAATGGGTGATAGTTTTGCTTTTTTAAAAAAAATAGCTAACTTGCCAACTTTTTTTTTAAGGGATGGCTGCTTTTTAAAAATATGAAATTTGGTTGGTGCCGTTAGGATAAATATCCTTGGATGCATAGTTTATTAATTTAAGGGGACAAATGATTTCAGAGTAGGAGAAATCCATTTTGTGATACAGCATAAAATAAATGTGTCAAAATAACTGGAAAAATGATGGCAGAGAGGCTGAAATCTGAAAATGAAAGCATGCCAATTTATCATCTCAGGAAATTAGTCCATTAGTGAGACCACAGAAGGCAGTGAGTGTTCAAATAATAAAAGATAAAGCAGAAGAACAATTTTAATTAGATTTGATCTGACCTAGATTAAAAAAAAAAAGGAATGAAATCTAGCCTACCAAGAGACAGGTATACCATCTGGCTTTCTGGAAATAATTTAATAAAGTACTTAAAACGAATATGTTCCATAAACTTTGTATGAAGTTCTAATACCAAACAAGCTATCCTCTTAGATGAAAGCCACACTTTTTTTTTTAGAAAGGAGATGAAAGAAAATTCTTCAGTGGCTGCTAAACGTCTATAATGTAAACATCTTTCTGGAAAAGCAGATGAGGTTACGGCATTTTTGTTTCAGCCATGTATGGACAGTTTGCAGGGATATTTCATTTGATCATTAAAATCAAACAGCAAATTGCTAATAAGGTGCTTTCTAGGGTCTACTAACACAAATGCTTTCAGTGGGCAGGTCTGCAGGATAAGCAAATGAATGTCAACTGTAAATAGTGTGGAATGCTGGGGACTGGGATAAATTTGAGGGCAGTGCTAGTCTAATATGGCAGGAGATAGAATCCTGTGGGCCAAATCAAAGACCCTGTGATCAATCGGATCCTCTGGAGACTACCTTGCAAGCCCTGCTTTAGACTTTGACTTGAGCAGGTTAAGTTTCTTTACTGACCAGGGATTTCTCATCTGAGTAATAAAAGGGTTAGGTCACTAGGTATTATCCATTACTAAAAGATTTCCTACTCTTCTTAGACATTCCTTGGAGGGTACATGATATTCAGATTCTTGGGAAGGACTCTGAGCTCAGTATCCTCACAAACCAGATCTAAAACATTTTTTTTTAAATGGTCTTGTAAGACCTATGTCTATAGCCATGATTAAAAAAGTTTTTTTGGGGGATCCCTGGGTGGCGCAGCAGTTTGGCGCCTGCCTTTGGCCCAGGGCGCGATCCTGGAGACCCGGGATCGAATCCCACATCGGGCTCCTGGTGCATGGAGCCTGCTTCTCCCTCTGCCTGTGTCTCTGCCTCTCTCTCTTTCTCTCTGTGTGACTATCATAAATAAATTAAAAAAAAAAAGTTTTTTTTTCCTTCAAAGCAGTGGATCGACCACCCACCTCCCCGCCTTTTTTTAAACAAATGATATCAACACAGAAAGCCCATATATAAAATAGACAAAGTGGAACTGCTCAGGCAGAAGAGGGTTGGGGTTGTCAAGCAGAGTGGAGGCCTAAAGCCACTTCTGTTTGTCTATACTTACTTGCTTCCCCTTAAGGTTGCCCCTGAGGCACTTTTAGGATCTCTGGGAGATAGTCTGAAAACTGTAGCCTGTCAGTGAGTCTTAGTTTTGGCTGCACATTATAATCAACTTTAAAGAAAAGGCTTAGGGCTCACCTGAGACCAACTAAATCTATGAGTTTTATTTTCCTGGTGATTCTGATACACAATGAGATTAAGAACCACAGAGTTAGGATGCCCACTTCAGACACTCATTGTTTGCTACTATTCTTTTTTTTTTTTTTTCTGATCTCATAATAAATGGGAAAAAATACTAAATGGGGTCATCATAGTCCCTAAAGTCAAGGACAAACGGGCCCCAGACAAGGTTTCAGAGAACTACAGTGTTTTTAAGATGTATCCAGATGCCACAATGAAAATGTAATTCCACCACCCATTTATTATGTGCTTAGGCTTGTAACAACAGAATGTTTTCACTGGTTTCCTTTCTGCCACCTTCTAAATCAGAAAAACAATGAGTCTTATAAATAAATTAGTGAAGGTACTTATTATAGGCACATACTACTTCCCAAGCAGACAAGGGAAATCAGGTCTTAGAAGAAAGTACAAGGGAAGACAGATATATTAACTATGTAAAACATGTTTGATTTGCCTCTTGAGAGAAGGCTTTTATTCTCAAGTTCAATGGAGGGGTGACTTAAGAAATCAGATCCATCATTTTCAGGGGAAAAATGTGTTAGGAGGATATACTAGTAAGCACTGTAGTATCCACAATATAAAGTCAGGACATGAATTCCTAAATCAGGGCACATTGGATTCTCTTCTTGGTTCTTTAAAGGCTTAATAGAAATGATGTCCATTTTCCACAAGCTGACCTCAAGTCCCCTGCTGCTAAAATGATTTGATGGCTTGCTCTGAAATTAGCTACAAAAGTCACAAAATCCTTTGCTCACTAAGCATAAAAGCAGTGGCCAGAAATTCATTTTTACAGAGTGAGAATTTACCATCCTTTACTCATGCAGTACCTCCAGTCCCCAGAAGAATGTACACTATATCACATAAAACACAAGTTGAGGCATCAAACTGTGCCCCTCTCCTATGGGAAAAATGCCAATGTACTTGGGGTCAGGAGGCAGACGTGGACACTGTCCGCCCTCTTGCTCCCCACTTCAAAACAGACTCCTGTGGTTTCCCTACCCAGAGAGGAAAAGAAAACAAATAGTCACTGTAACAACAAAGTGAGATTTCATAAAATAGATTATTTTCATTTAAAAAATCACTTGCCACCTTTATAACCTCAAATAGTATAGTTTAAGACTTAACATTCTAGGTTTCAGGATCTTAACACTGAAATTCTGGGGTTAGTTTTTATCTTGTTCTAAGACTCTGAGTCTTGGGGATCCCTGGATGGCTCAGCAGTTTGGCACCTGCCTTTGGCCCAGGGTGTGATCCTGGAGTCCCAGGATCGGGTCCTGCATCAGGCTCCTGGCATGGAGCCTGCTTCTCCCTCTGCCTGTGTCTCTTGCCTCTCTCTCTCTCTCTCTCTCATAAATAAATAAGTAAATAAATAAATAAATAAATAACCTTAAAAAAAAAGACTCTGAGTCTTAAGATGCTATAAGTACACTAACTGTGGTAGATATGTATTGGGTAATTTTATGATATGATTTTGTTCTACGTTGTCTGTTCCCCTCCCCCATCTTTCCAGTACTCCGATTTTTTTTTTTAAGATTTTATATACTTTTATTTGATAGAGAGTACAAGCAGGGGGAGTGGCAGGCAGAGGGAGAAGAAGGACTCTGTTGAGCAGGGAGCCTGATGTGGCCTTGATCCCAGGATTCTGGACCTGAGCTGAAGGCAGATGCTCAACCATTGAGCCACTCAGGCTTCCCCCAGTACTCCAATTCTATGATTATATATGTCTTTCAATTAGGTGACAAGAATTATTTAAACTCACTTGTAGTATATTATTGAGCATTTTGTATCATATAAAGTCATTATATGAACTAACCAGTTATGGGCCTGGTGATAAAGGAATTAAGACATAAAAAGGTAAGAGCATATGAATATATATGTAAAAGCTGAAATATATTTCAAGACTTTTGCTTTTGATTTGTTGCTACATCTGGCTAACATCAATAGTACTAGGTCATTTAACAAAAAAGCCATTAAAATTTCTCTGAGCTATATGAAAGTTATCTTCAATCTCTAAAAAGTGGGGGATTAAATTTTACTCAAAGTATTCTGGTAAAAAAAAGGGGCTTTAAGGACAAATCCTTACAGGGGCTAAGCAGGTAAGATGAATGAAAAGGATCTGCCGTTAAACCAGAGGAGCTAATGCCTGGTATGATGGGGACTACCACCATGCAACTCCATCAGCCAGTTGCTGTGTGAAAATGCAGGCTTAATGTTGTTATTAGAACTTATTCAAAAGAAGTCAGAAATCCAAATTTCCATCTGAAATATCTGAATTCTAAATGTTGGCAAGGAATTAAGAAGCACTATGTGAAACAGAAAATAAAAACACAAAATTAAATAACCAGTGAATGCAACATCAAGGAGGCAAGCAGAACCTAACTTTGGGCTAAACGAGCCTATCCACAGAGAATTTGCAACCTCTAGAAAAGGGATCAGGGTTTTCAGGAAAAGGCATTTGCAAGCCCAGAGCAGGAAAGGAGGGGGAGATGGGGTGAGAAAGGAGAAATAATATGCAAATAAGGCTAGACATGTCTTTCCAGGAAAAACTCCTCAGAATACTTGCCCCCCCCAACAAAATAATAAAAAGAACAGAGTGGAAATTTACTATATCCTTCAGTAAATAGTAAAAATAAAGTTTTGTGGTTTTTTTGTTTTTTTTGTTTTTTTGGTATAGCCTCAATATATGGTGACAATTACAATGGGACTTAAAGCAACAAAACAAATCTTGACAAAGAAAAAAAGTCTCTCGTTTCATGCTGGAGAAATTATACAGCTGCTACCACAGCTACTTCTGAGAGAAATATAGTCAAGAAGGAAACACCCCTCAGTTGCTTAGTACAATGATTTTAAGCTTCTGGATGTGATTTTGAAGTAGTGTAGGGTACGAAGAGTATAAGGAAGTATCTTAGAGTTCTACCCACTTTGGCCAGCCCTTCCTTCTGCCCTCCATTTAGCAGCCCTTTAACGACCCCCAGGCTCCTATATATCCAGCTTGAAAGCCACTGGTCTAAAATGAGCCAAATGTCACTAGGAACACATCTTTGAATTGACATTTGTAATGATGTACAAACCACATTAGTCAGTTTCTTATGCCACCTGTAGAGTCAAGGGGTCTCTATCTTCAGAGACATAAAAGAAACAGGTATAAAATTTAGAATTTAGAAATTTTTCTCTTCGATACAGGACCAAAGTTTATCTGAAAACTTATAACAAACATGGCTAGACATATACCAAAAACCTGTGTGGCATGTAACTTGATTCTATGAGTATATTTCTGCTAATTGCAGAAAGCCATTTCCAGTCCATTAAATACACTTACTTTGACACAAAAAAAGATTGTTGTGAAATTAATGGTGTCCCATAGCCTGAATGTAAGCTCCACACAATTCTTGGTTTCAGATTCCATTAAAGGATTATAGGTTACCTTGGTGCAACAATCAGAATCCACTTATATTTTTGACAACAGGACTAGGGCCAACTGGATAAAGGGTAATTTCTCTGCTTCTGCCAATACTAGCAACTGTTGTGAATAAATGCATCATAAGGAAAGCACACTGTGTTCTTGGGAATACTGATTGGTGAAGGGTAATCAGAGTGTAGGGGAGAGAGCAATCTTTTTAGAGGCTGACTTTATAAGCTTGACTAGATTGGTAATAAGTTTTCATAATTTTTAGGTTCTTTGAGCACTGTAGATCACTTTCCAGAGTATAGAGGGTTCTCTTACTTGCACAGTACTTTGTTTCACAAAGATCATTCGAATAAGTATTTTATTTGTTTTTAGGTAGGCTCCACGCCCAACATGGGGCTTGAACTCACAACCCCGAAATCAAGAGTCACATGCTCTACCAACTTAACCAGCCAGGTGCCCCATGAATAAATATTTTAAATGAACAAAATTCGTACCACAGTGTTTTACCTATAAGAGGGAAGATGTAAGAAAAAAAGCAGATGCAAATCTATCTGAAGGGGAAAGATGTAATGCTAGGTGAGAAATGCCTATTTATATTTATAAACAAGCAATGTTTAAGAAACACAAGATTTCACAATGGTGACCTATTCTGATCACATTAACGCAACATTCCTATGAATAGTATCGGCCAGGTCCAAAAGTTGAAGAAGATTCCAACTAGGGATGTAATAAGGCCTAAGTATAGAATCTTCCTAGCCAAGACAATAACAATACCAAACATCATGATGGTCCTTGATTTAAAGAGGTGTTCCCCTGAAATCTAAAATCATTTTCATAATCTAACACATCTCTATTTCCCATTCTATTAGGAGAGACCCAGAGTTCTTATATTTTCTCCAAGCATTCTAGTGCTTGTGAGACATGTGATCATCACCATTACAGAAGTCATCTACCAAACAAAATCAGCAATATACTCTGTGATATAATGACATCAACCATCTGTGAGCATTTAAAAGTTTTTTTAAATCTTAGTTGACTTGTCCACATAATTTGGGACACAATGAATGCCTAGCATAACTTCTACTTTCATTTAAAAATATGAAAGTGTACCTCAAGTAGTAAATAATGTCTCAAATGGAGGGAGATAAATATTAAAATGGAGAGAGATTAAATATGAAAGCACAGTTTATGGAATAGAAAAATCAAGAGCTAGCAGGACTAATTTAGAATGATGACTTCTATAATTAGGGAAAGATTAAAGTATGATTCCTCTATCTAAGCTTCAATTACACAATGGAGATGCCCGATTTATAACATCTAAATGGTGGCAGTCTTAAGAATGTACTGCTTAGAGTCACTGCTAGCTTCCCCAAAAGTCTTTTTTTCTAGGTCACACTCTATAAGATCCTCCTGAGGCTGAAAGCACTGGAGATACTAATAATGCTACCTACCCAGGCCTGATTTGCCAAGGAATACATGTCATATAAGTCTTGTCTAATGAGGGAATGATCTTTACTTTTACCTTCTGATAACGTAGTACTTTCATGTTAACAGGGCACAATCTATCCCTTAAAAAAAGCACCTAACTTTACAGATAATGATTTTCTATCCTTTATCAACTACCACATGATCCTCATTACATTCTAGAAACTGTCAGTAGAAAACCTAGAACGTCAACATCATTGATAATGCCAAAAAGGTAGGGCATACCCTTTTAATATTCAATAATAGAAACCAGAAAATTGAGCTCAAATAACTTCTAATAAGTGGAATTAAGAAATTTACCTGGGATGTGGGTTAAGAAAGGGATGAACAGGATGGGGAAGAAACAGAAGGAAGTAGAGGTGGTCTGTTCTGGGATAAAAGAAGAATTAGTGTCTTTGATTTCTAAGCACTGATTCAGGGAAGACTTGACAGATTCTCTGGTTTGCCTACTCAGTGCAATAATACATCTGTTAAAAGACAATTACCCAAATTTTTTACTAAAATTTGCTGCAGCGCTATCCTTTCCTTTTGCTAGTAATGTACCATTTTATTGACTCATAATGGCTTTTGTGCAAGAAGGAAGATCAGAATTCATGGAACTGAACCTATGTTTAGATTTCTGAGAAAGACTGAAGCATCAAATAATCAACTTATATACTTCGTCTTGATTATACCTTACTCAACCTTATGGAAAAGAAAGCAAAAACTAGGCAATAATAATTTTTAAGTATATGACGGTAGGTGTCTAAATACCGCATCTCCAAATACTTAGGAGAGGGTAATGAGCATGCAGCAGAACATTTCTTACAATATAATCCTTCCTCAATTACTTGAAGTCACTCTGTAAGCCACTAGCTATTAAATCACATCTAAAAACACTATTAAATGGAAAGCTTCCAAATCCACAAAAGAAAAGAAACACTTGGAAAATGAGAGACGACGGAAGTGAAAGGCAACTAACCAAATCAAAGGCACAGACATAGTTAGGTGAAAAGAAACTTGATACTATACTTTGGTTTTGCATTTTTGTATTCTTCAGTGTCTGTGTCCTCGTCCTCTGAGTACCAATTATCTCCTCTTCCTCCAGCCAAAAGGCCCCTGGCCGCCAACAGTCCTGCAGCATTCCCATAGCCAGTGTATTTCAGCAGGCTATCCACTGCAAAAACAGAAGAGGTTTTTAGACAGGAATCCGTGGGTGCTCACTGTCATTGCCGACTATTCACCAGCACAGGGAAGCTGGAGATATGTATCTCAGCACTAAACCTTAAAATTGAGAGATTTTCAAAGTGTGGTAGTGGTTATACTGACTACCTACAAATTCTCTGACATGCTCTGAATGCCAAAAGCCTTTTTCAAGGTATCAGAAATTCAAGTGGAGCTGTTTAGAATATACTTTGTGGCAAAAGTGGAGCCTCTGTGACCACAGGGTCATCGGTAAGGGTGGTGTTTTAAATTTCTGGTCACAAATCTTATTATTTATCCAGTTTTAGAAAACAATGACTAGAAACTAGAATTAATGAAAGCCAGATTAGAATTTTACCAACACAGTCATTATCTAAAATCTTTTGCGTACTCTTTATGGGGAATGGTGGGTAAAGAGTAAAAGAAATCACAAAACTTAAGGATGTTTGCAAAAAGGATAGCTAAGTTACTATTTTTTCAAAAAGTCAGTGACAATACATAAGCACATGATATGCCCTGAGAAGATAGGCCCAGGGGCTAGACTGGCTGGATTTTAGTATATATGCTGCCTAAGCGAGCACTGGCTGGATTTTAATAATGGCTCTACCACTTACTAGCTGGTTGACTTAGGGGAAAGATATCCTATAGCCGTGTACCCTACTTTTTCTAATCTGGAGAACTGGAATAATAATCTACTTCACAGGTTAATACATGCAAAGTGCTTAGAAAAGTATCTGGCACAAAGTCAATACTCTTTCTTTTCCCCTGGTAATATCAGGTACAATGAGCATGTTAGGCTTCTCTTAGTGAACCACAGCAGCAACGGCTCAATGAACCACTGGGTGCAGGTCAGTATTACCTTGTCATCAGTGCAAGGTGATAACTTTAAGATAAACAGACACATAAAACTTTTGCAGGGAACCTTGAACCACAGTTCAAGGATTTTTTTTTTTTTTTGGTAATTTATAAGAACCTTTAACAAAGATACTAAACAATCATTAGCAGCTTTATTTAGCAGCCCCCCTTTTTTTAAAAAAAAAAAAGATTTTTATTTATTTATTCATGAGAGAGACACAGAAAGAGGCAGACATAGGCAGAGGGAGAAGGCTCCCTGTGGGGAGCCCAATGCAGGACTCGATCCTAGGACCCTGGTATCATGACCTGAATGGAAGGCAGACGCTCAACCACTGAGCCACCCAGGTGTCCCTTAATAGTACTTTCTTTTCTTCACGTATAATTTTATTTTATTTTTTAAAAGATTTTATTTATTTACTCATGATAGACATAGAGAAAGAGAGAGAGAGGTAGAGACACAGGCAGAGGGAGAAGCAGGCTTCATGCAGGGAGCCTGACCTGGGACTCAATCCCGGGACTCCAGGACCACACCCTGGGCCAAAGGCAGGCGCTAAACCGCCGAGCCACCCAGGGATCCCCATTCACATATAATTTTAAAATGAACACTAAAATATTCACTCTTGGGGCATGTGGGTGGCTCAGTCAGTTAAGTGGCTGGCTCTTGGTTTCAGCTCAGGTCATGATCTCAGGTCCTGGAAGCAAGCCCCATGTCAGGCTCAGCTCCGAGTTTAGTGAGGGAGTTGGCTCCAGCATAATCTCTCCCTCTGTGTCCCTCCACCCCTTGCTCTTTCTCTCTCTCTCTCTCTCTCTCTCTGAAATAAATAAATCTTTTAAGAAAAATTCAAATTAAAGATAAAAATTTTATTTAAGGTTTTCAATAAAGTGTAATACTAAAGACAACTATAGGAAACAAACCCAACACTATCTTTTTCACATACAAAGCTTTAGTAAAACCTACCTCTGAAATACTATTGTAATTCAGATTACTTACCTCAAAAAAGACAAAATAAAGCTGGAGAAGATTCAGAGAAGAGGAATTAAAATGACTTTGGGATCTGAAAGGGGCAGTGGATAGCAAGTATGTAGGTAAGGAAAGGACTATATGTGATCAGAGTATGAAATCATTAAAGACATGGATGGATAGGATGAATAGTCCAGAATGGGCTCATTAAATTTTCAAATGTTTTAGCTAGAGGATGCCTTCCTTCACACTGAAAATAGGTACTTTGGGGACAAAAGAAAGTCCTACAACATCACAGGATTTATTAAACTGGTGACATCTGTGCAAAAGGAACCATGGATTAATAAGTAGAAAAAAAATATAAGTAGATTAAAGTTTACACTATTCTCTTTCAACCATTTTTTGTCTTAAAACCTATTGGTAATTGTTGTCTCTTTGGTAATAATTCTCAATAAGTTCTAAATAGAATCATATTAGAATTTATAATGGTGTTTTAATTTGAAAGCCCTCTGAATAAATCTGAACATGCTCCCTCTTGCTATCAGTGCCTCTACGAGACTGGGATGGTTTAGATAAGTTAATTAATTCTTAATAGATTATTAGGGAAGTGAATATTCAGCGCATACAGATATTCTTAATATTCATGGAGGTCAGACATGACTTTAATGACACGGTCAGACTCAAGGTCAATGAGGTGAAGGATCATAAATCTGAACCCACATGGCCCTAATACTCTCACTGGAAGCGTTTTTGACAAGGCTTATTTTTTAACAAAGAGGTTTAGTAGTTCCAGGAAAAAAAAAATCACTAAAATTGTAAAAGTCTAAGTTGAGATATGAATATACTTAAAAAAATAACAATAGAAAAGACATATTTAAAATATAGATAACCACCTACAATGACTAAACATTAAAACAGTTTAAGAATGCAGAATTTATGAAAGGCCAAAATAGGTTAAAAAGAAGTAAACAGAACATTAATCTGCTTTCTTAAGCAGAAAATCCTCCTGGAAGCTAGTTGGTAGTAAAAAACACCTAGCACTTTTATGAAAATGCTGCTTACTGTTCATTCATGGCAACAAATGCGTCAACTCTGTGACAGTTTGGGTTACAAAGGGTACTTAAGACACACCTTGCCTTCAAAACAGATAAGGCTATAGTCAATAGTTTTAAAATCAAATGAACTTTTGTTACTAGGATAAAATACTTTAAAAATGAGGGTTGGGGAAGGGAGACAAATGGACTATAAAATCTTTCTCTTTTTTTTTATTATTTATTTATGATAGTCACAGAGAGAGAGAGAGAGAGGCAGAGACACAGGCAGAGGGAGAAGCAGGCTCCATGCACCGGGAGCCCGATGTGGGATTCAATCCCGGGTCTCCAGGATCGCGCCCTGGGCCAAAGGCAGGCGCCAAACCGCTGCGCCACCCAGGAATCCCGAGAAACATTTTCTTTGTGAAGTTCTGATTGACATTATTTGGTGGAGTGTTTCGAGCTATTTTCAAATACATTGTAATAATAACCTATTCAGTACTGGGAAGGTAGTAAAAGGAAAAAGTGAGCTGCTAAGGGCAAGGAAAGATTTTTTTTGTGTGGCCCTTAAAATAAAAAGGAACAATATAAAAATATTTTTTTTGTCCTAGTAATCAATGACATCATTAGGTAAAACTGCTGCAGAAATGAGACAAATCAGCATTCAGTCAGAAAGTTGCAAAAAATATTTCACCATTATTTTATCAAGATGTTAGAGGGCACTATAAACAGAGGAAAACTGACAGTAGCACCCTGCAGTTAGACCTGCACTGGTGGTAATGACATCATTGCTTATACAAATGTGGGCTTTATCACACTCTATCATGAAATCAAAAAGTCCTGCTCTTTCTGAGGAGGAAGAATAGCAGAGCCAGATTCTACCCAGAGACCATTCTCCCCTTCTCTGTTATGTAGAGAAGGTTTTATAATCCTTTTCCTTCCAAATGCTGCAGCTTCTAGAAATTTTAGACTAGTAGCTTCCTCTAACTATTCTCTCTATTTCCAACCTCATATCCCTCTATTCTTGTTCCATACAATTGCCTCATAGATATTTGTAAAGCAAAAATATGGTGTTGTCACTTTCCTGGATAAAACCTCTAAGATCTGCCATAAAGGCTAAGCGTTCTTCATTTTCTGGCCCCTGCCTTCTTTTCCAAACTTGTCTCCTATTATTCCTGCACATCGTGCATTCCTCACATCTTGAACTAGTCTCTTTCATAAACATACCAAGGCTGTTTCCCATTTCTCTGCAAAGATTTTCTCTGTCTCCACACTATCCTATCATTCCCTCTTTCAGGCTGTCACAATGCCTCTCTCTTAGTGTACTGAAATTATTTCTTTATATGGAGAGAGCCACAGGACCATATTCACTACACTGCATTCAGACAGCAGCAATGTTTACTCTTATAACTATCTGTAAGGTACTATGTTAAAACTGGGGATCCAGAGATGAAGAAAACATGATCTCTGACCTAAAGAAACTCAATGTCTAGAATGTAAGTTCAACAAATTAAGAGAACATAGCAAATATCAAAAGTACTAAAAACAGAAGAAAGTAAAAATGGTAAAGAAGAGAGAATGATTAACTCTGCCTCCATGATCAGACAAGTCTTCACAGAGATGATACTTAAACTGATCTTCTAGGATAAATAAAGCTCACCATGCTAGCAAAGACATTCCATGCAAAGGGAACGGTATCTGCCAAGTCATGATGATAATGCCAAGAAACAGTACAGTATAATCAGGCAAGAATAAAAAATTTAGCACGACTAAGCAGAAAGTATAAGATAATAGCAAACTGAATTTAGAATATATGTTAGGCCATGGAGGCATCTAATAAAATTTGGATTTTACTCGGTGTCAGCTAGATGTATGTATGTATTTATCTAGATGCTTTTAAATTAGAAAGTTTTACAAGGTAGTAATGACAAGATTATATTTTAGAAGAATCATTCTGTTAGCCATGTGGAACACAGATTGAAGAAAACTTGACCAGAAACAGAGGGATATGACAATTTCAATAGTTTAAGAGACATACAGATTGGGAATCCCCAGCAAACAGGCTGAATGTCAAGGGAGAGGATGAGATCATTCAGGAAGCAATGTTAAGTGAGAACAGGGATCAGA